CTTTCAAGCTCGCAATTTAAGCAAGACAGAGGAAGACGCCGTTAATTAACGTCGTTTATGTAAACGGAGTTAAGGATTGCTCGAGTCGGTCAAATATGCGGTCCACTAATGCGAGCTGCTCAATGATATTTTCCTTTGCATTAGTATGGTTAACTAGTTAGTATTTTCACCCGAATTTTCCTTTTATGTTTATATTTAATGGATCAGATTTAAGTTATAATTCGATTCATATTTTTTTTTAAAAGAAAAGTCCAATGAAAATGTTAGAAAAGTAGAAGCCCAATAGAAAATGGAGAAGCCCAATACAGAATTTCAGCGTTCAGAGACTTCTCCAGTAAGATCTCTGTAGCTGCTTTGTCTTCTTCACTCATCTCAGAAGAAGTCTTCCATCGTTCGACACAAAATACTTATTGATACCTCAGTTGATTTTGAAAACTGATCAACAGTTTTCCAGCTACTTAATGTGAATGAGTCTGTCGTCTTTTTTAGTAAATCCGGTACAACTGCATCTTTTTTAGGCAGCCTGCAATTTACAGAAATTTGACATATAAATTACAAAGTACTATTTAGTAAAAAGGGAAGAAGGAAAAGTTAGTGTTAGACTTACATTTTCCTAAATACATCAATATCCTCTAAGCCTGAGTTAAGAAACAACTTCGTAGAAAACAATGAGCTTTGAACAGATAACATTACCTGAATATGACAAATTGTTTGTTAGAAGACCTAAGAGGATAAAATGAATTGAACAGAAACAGTAGATTGAAGTTAGTCGTTTTGTTACCATTATATTTTTTGGTCCTCATAAGACTCCCAAGTAAAATTATAGGTCCGGTGTTGTTGCTCTTCACAAAAGAGTGGACATCAGTAGCATGTTTTTCCCATATAAAGTACAGTCGATGATAGTTTCACTGGAAGAAAATTTAAATAAACATTAAAATGCCTCTGGTTTTGAAAATGTTAGGCAAAGTTATAAATAAACAATTGCAAAACAACTAACCAAAGATCTCTGAGTTGAATATTTAACAACTTAGATGGAGTGCCTGAGAAGATTTTTTTCTTTAACTTGAGAGTCCATTCCTACAATTTCACCAAGTATGTCTGTGGAAAAGAAAGAAGATTAAGCATGTGATTTATTGAGTTTTGATTAATAGAAAATGAATAAGTAATTGTGAAACTGAAAGGATGGAAAGGAGCATACCAATGAAAACATCAGTGTCATTAGATTGAGCAATAATATCTGAAAAAGCACAGAAATCAAAACGGGGTATCTTGGGGATGACATCACACCGCTTAACACATGTTGTGAATAAGAAATTAATCTTGCAAGGATGTTTCTTTGCCCTGTAATCCCGATCGTTAGCCAAGACGATATCACGAAACTCTCCTTCAGGTAAATCATTTTGAAATTTGCGAAGCAATTTCTGTTTTACTGAAGCTTGTATTCTATCACCCTGTAAAACGAAAATAACCGAACAATGGATTAGAAGAAACATGTTCTGCATCGTTTTAAAAATAAATTGGATGATTGTGAACATTAACCGAAACTAACTAAGATGAACATAGATAAGTGTGTACCTTTTCATCCACGATGATAACTTCCTGACCAAGAATAAATCCAGGTTTGTCTGTGAAATAAAAATTCCAGGTCCGTGAAATCAAAGCTCTGATTTTCCATTCCTTTTTAGAAGCATTTAGTTGTGAAACATGAGTATAATCCAGAGGTATCTTAACCTGAATAAAGAAATGAAGGGTATTAATAAGTATCGATTTGTTATGGACTGAGAATGAGCGTAAGAAAACAAACGATGGAAGTTATCAAAAAAAAAAACAAACGATGGAGAAGAATGGAGATGCTGGCAAATGGAGAAGAAAATAAGTCGATTAGAAGTTATATATGAGATGAAACCGTTTGAAATCGTGCCTGATTTTTGTAAGAACGTGGAGGTTGTGAAGAGAAAATTTAGGGATTTCAAAATTTTAATATGAAAAATAATGTTAAAATTATTGGCATTTATTTAGCAAAAAAAAAAAATTGGCATTTACAAGATAATTGACATCTATTAAAATTAAATTTAGCCTTAGTTACAAAAATAATAATGAATTACTAAATTTATATGCATATGATTATCTGATTCAAAAAAAAAAAATCATAAAAACGAAAGAAACGAATTATTATGCTTTAGAAAAAGAACAAAAGAGTTCCTCGATATAAGAAAATATGAATGATGTC